TATGCCTGATCTGTGAATATTTGAAGCCGCTATGATGCTGTTCACAGACGTCCCAGCCTGCCTGCATCCATCCACACCCCGGTCCCTGCCCTGCGCCATGCCCTCGGGGCCGTACTGTCTCCGTCCCTGCGGCACCAACACTCCCAGCCCCGCGGTTGCACTCGGCCACGGAGTAGATACCAACACCCCATGGTGGTTCTTGCACCGGACCGTGGGCTGCCATGGCATGGCAAGCGCTCCCCAAGGCGAGGCGTGTGCCGGGAGCTCCCGGTGTGCGGGCACGTGGTTTCCGTGGCGGGTTGGGCAGCAAATGGCAGCATGAGGAACCACGGTGCATGCGTGTCTCCTCCCGCGTCCTCACGTGGCACAGGCACAACCCTTCACACCTCCCCATGCGTGTCCCATCATGTCTCGCTGATGGTGCACCCATGTCCTGCGTCGGTCCCCTTCCCGGGGAGGACGCGCCCGTCTCCCTCCATCACACAACCTGTCCCTTTGTTTCACTCTTTTGCAATTTAGGTTTTTTCTGGCACCAGTTCCTCATGCTCCTGGATTAGGAGGCTGATGAGGAGATGTTTCACCACTGCTGTCCTTCCTGTCTCCTAGAAGCATTTTGCTGTGCCATTCCCACCAAGCACGGACTTGGGGTGAAGGGCTTGGGCACCCTCAGGCACAGGCTCCTCACCAGCCCCCCGAGACTGTCTTTCCCCCAGGACACGTAGGGTTTAGCAGCCCGTGCCAGGCACTGGCAACACCATGGGGTCTCCCACAAGTGGCAGCATCCCCCCAACAGCGGGAAGAGGCGGTGATTGCCAATACCCTTGCTTACCATCAGGCAGCAGTTCCAGCTTCTGGGAAATGCTGCCTCCTACAATTGGCTGGCAAGTTTCCGGCACGCTGGCGTGCCTGGATTTGTAATGCCTTTCTTGGCTTCCTGGCTAGATGCTAAAAGAAATGATTCAGGAGGAATGCTGCTCATGATTTTGGAGAGGTGACTGGGGGGTGGGATGCGTTGGCCATCCCCCCAGCACCTGTGCAGCATCGTGCTGCGGGCAGACACCACACCTCCAACCAAATTCAACAGCATCCGGGCAGATACGGGAGCGATGAACCACATCCCTCACTGGAAAAAAACAGCAGCATCCCACCGGAGACCCTCACCCAGCACCTTTCATGCGATCCAGAAAAATTCCTCTTCCATCATCTCCGTGAAGACTCCCGAACTCTGCAGAAATGTTCTGGCTCCTGGGAAAGCCCCTGCACCGTCACCGACCCGCGATGCTGGCTCCCTGCAAATGTCTCTTTTGGTGTTTCCTTGTTTTGCCCTAACTAGTTTGGTGCGTCCCCTCCCTCATTAACACTGGGAGCAGCCAGTTCCTGGAGCCAGACCAGAAATCGCCTCCTGGGCGTGCTGCGTGTAGCCTTGCACAATTCCCCAGGTTATCGCCCCCAAGGAAATTTGAGGGTGTCACAAATCGTAGCTCAGGGAGAATATAAAAGACACATCGCCTCCACCTCGCAGTCACTGCTCCTGCCCGCTCCTCTCCTCCCGTGCACCGCCGTCCGCAGAAGTCAGACCCAGCGCTGCTCACAGGTGAGTAGATCCTTGACAAACGGTGGCTTTGTACTGCTGGAAGTGACACCTGGATGAGCCGGACCACGCCGGGCAGCCAGACCTGGCTGGGGCTCCCGGAGGAGACGGCAGTCCTCCTTCTCCGATGGGGTTTAATGTTTTGCTGTCTGTTCCTTCCTAGCAAGATGAAAACTGACCTGGAGCTCGCCTTGGAGTGCACTGTCAACATCTACCACCAGTATGCCATGAAGCGCCCCATAGATGACTACCTGAACAAGACTGAGTTCTCCATGCTGCTGAAGGAGACCGCCCAGCCCTTCCTCTACAACACCTTGCCGGTAAGAGCCGAGCGTGACCCAGCTCTCCTAACGCTGGCGAGAGCTCGCAGGAGTGGTGACCTCTTTGGGGCATGGGGGTGGCCGAGAGCCTCCCAAAAGGGAGGGAGGGTTTTTCTAGGGTTTTCCTGAAACCGTGCAAGCCTCATGCCATAGCTGTGGGCTGACCCTGAACCCCGCTGTGCTTCAGGCTGACTCTTTTTCATGTTTGTCCTGCTGCAGCCTAACACGTCCATTGATGACTACATCAGCAAGCTCTTTGCCAGAGCAGACAGCAACCACGACGGTCGCCTGAAGTTCACCGAGTTCCTGACCACGCTGAACCTCATAGCCATTGATGCCCACAATAGGTCCCACCGCGGTCACAGGACCCATGACCAGCATGTAGATGCCGGTCACGGCCACGACCATGGTCCCTCCAAGTGAAATGGTTCCCAGGGTGACTGTGCCCATGGGACTGTGCTCTTCCAGCAGCATCATCCCTTCCATTTGCCTGCAAGCACAGAAAAACCTGTAACCAAATCTTTGTCATCTGCTTCTGCCTATGGCACTGAAATAAAATTTCTTTCTTCAAGCACCAAATGCATCTGTATTATGTGTCCTGCTGTCTCCAGGGAGGATGCAATAGCAATATACACCCAGCCTGTGGCTGTTGGGGGTTAAATGCAGATTGAACTGGAGAAGCAATGGGGAAGGGAGGGTGGCATAGTGGGGGTCCGGGACCCTGCTCCCGGGACAGGCGTGCTGCTGGGTCCCAGCTGAACAGCACAGGATGCGTGGCCTGCCTGTCCTGCAGCATGCCAGACCCTGACACGTTCCCCGCTGCCTTCCCGAGGCTCAGCGGGTTCCCAGCACCCTTCGCTTCAGCAGACAGCAGGGTGCGTGGCACCCCATCACACCGGGGAGGTTCCTGGGTAGGAGCAGCCGGTGGCTGCACAAGAGTGTCTTCAGCACTGGTGCTCCCAGCCCCACTTCGCACCAGCTCAAGGACATGCCAGGGGTGAAGCACAGCTGGAGGCTGCTTCCCTAGTTGGCTACCAAGACCAAACTTTGGTGCTAGGGGTGCAGCATCTTGGGGGTGCAGCATTCTGGGGGTGCGCACAATGCTTTACAACCTACAAAGCAACTGATGCTTATCCTGCAAGCCCCAACGCTGTGAAGAGCGAGGCCGAGAGTCTCCAGAGAGCTGGTGTTAACTCTGCACAATAAAGTTGGACGCTCTTGCTAGTGTGGGGCAACAGCCCACCAGGTCACACCACATTTACAAGCCACTGTGGGCTCCTGGGGAGCAGATACATGAGTGAAAAAGAGTGGAAAAGAGTGGAAAAGAGGAGTGGAAAGTTACTGTGCACCGAGTGGGAAACCCTCAGACTCAGGAGGCTCCGACATTGTCTGACACCAAAAGCATGTCCCATGTGAAACTGAACCACAAAAGGAAGCATGGGGCTATTGTGTGGTTATTTGCACTCAGTAACACAGGTGATCACTCTCTGGCTCCACAATTTTGCCACTGAGGAGTAGCCCTTGTCGCCCAAAGGCAGATGTTGTTCCATGCCAGGGTACCTGGGTCTCACTCGGACATCACTCCCCTTTCGGGAACCGGCATCCTGAGCTGCCTCCCACGCAGGTTTTGGGAAACGCGGCTGGGAAAGACGGGAATTCAGAACCCACAGGTCTGTCTGCGTGGGGACTATGCAAATGCACAGGGCAAAACCCGGCCTTGGCCAATGCTTTGCAAGGCCAGCTGGGGAATGAGGATGCAATTTTGGACTGTCAACAGTCCCTAATGAGTAGAGGAGGGGAACAAAAAAAAGCAAGAAAATGAGTCAGGGATACCAGAATAAAACTCATGCAACAGTTCTTGATAATACCCCTGGGGACACTCAAGAAGCATCCTCAAACAGGAATGGTTACCCTTTTGTTTTTCTGTTCCTACCCTCTTTCTGGAATCTATTGTCTTATTTTTAAATCTTTTCATAGTCTCCCCATTCTTCTAGTACCTGTTCTGCTAACGCAAGATGGGTGACACAGAGGTGACTGTTGCAAAACACTTGCTAGTTAATGCTTCATTCAAAGACCCTGACCTTGGATTTTCTTCTTGTTTTATGCACAGTTGCCTTTACAAAGTTCTTGGAGCAAGAAGAAAGGTCTGGTACAAGAAATGCAAAAACAGAAAGTAATGGAAAATACTCTGGAAAGCAATTTATTAAAAGGCGGATGCTGCCTTCATCTTTGCTAGCGTTCAACCAGTTAGCATTGTAGAAAACAGAGAGATCACATGAAAAACAACCAAGGGACCAAGTTACCCACGTTTCTCTGAAACAGCCCATCTTTCTTCTATACCAGCGTGAAAGCGCACAAAATTTTCAGCACGTTGCAAAACTTGCAAACTTTTGGCAAGTTCCACCAAGACAGACTTGACCTTTATGCTCATGTTGAGGTGTGACGGTACATCCAGTGTTTTTGCCATTTTTTTGTCCAACACACGAACAGCTCAGCCCTGTCAGAGGCGACGGTGGGGTGGAAGGACAACATTTCCAAAGCCTGGTGGGTGCAACCAGGAACTATGTGCAAAGGTATGAGATGGGGAGGGGTTCAGAAGTTCCCACCTTGCAATTTCCAGGTACGGGAAATGCTAATTCAAGCTGTTGCTTGCAGCAGGTGTGTCACCATCTCTGATGAAAGAGGACCTCAGACATCTATAAAAGGGCTGTCCAGGCTTTTGGATCACTGCAACAGACCCATTCTCTGCAAACTCTCCTTGGAGACAGGGGTAAGTAACACCGCAATGGGTCTTGCAGGAAATAAGACGAGGGAGAAGTGATTTTGAATATCACTTCATGCCATGCCTGTTTTATTCCAGGGTGATGCTTTCTACTTGGGCCAGGGTAGGAGGCTGGTTTTGACTATAAGATGACAAGGCTTTTTACAAGGGCATATAGCAACAGGACAAGGGGGAATGGCATTAAGCTGAAGGAGGGGAGATTTAGATTAGATGTTAGAAAGAAATTCTTCCCTGTGAGGGTGCTGAGGCCCTGGCACAGGGTGCCCAGAGAAGCTGTGGCTGCCCCTGGCTCCCTGGCAGTGTTCAAGGCCAGGTTGGATGGGGCTTTGGGCAACCTGGGCTAGTGGAGGGGGTCCCTGCCCATGGCAGGGGTGGTACTGGGTGGGCTGGGAGGTCCCTTCAAACCCAAACCATTCTAGGTTTTTATGAAGTATAAATTAATGGCATTTCTGTACCATCTTTAGTGAAGGTGTAATTATTTCTGCTGACAAGGAGATCTCTGCATGGTGGCACCCGTTGGAGAGCAGGGTCTCTGTGCTCGGTGCCTGCAGCGAACAGGGTTTGCAGCCCAAAGACGAGGGGGAGGTTCACAGAGGAGGGTCAGGCAGAGGCTGCAACAGAGCCCATACCTGAACTGCGGTCCCTTCCTTAAAATCATCCTTGCTGCAAGTGACATGGTGCAGATACGGGACTAGTCCTGATGGGTTTGTCTAACTTGCCTGACAAATGCCCCCAGGTCACTCAGAGGCATTTCTAAACCCACTTATTGCCCACTCAGCTCTGAGGAGCCGCTGGCTGCCCCCCGGGGACGCTGGGCACCGCTGGCTTGCTCAGCTCCGGCGAGACAAGGCTCCTGGTGCAGATCTGCTGCTACGCTGGGGAGGTGCAGCTCAACCCCCCTTGGGGTGCCTGGGGTGGGGGCCAAGAGCACAGCGTGGGGTGCCTGATTTTTGATGCACCTCATGACTTTGAGATTTCTCCATGCAGTTTCTGCAGGTGCCTCAAGAACTCAACCATGTCTGCAACCACCCAGACCACAACCGCCCTTCCCAATACTCCGCAGTTCCCTGGAAACTGCACGCTGGAGATGGCCCTGAAAACCATTGTGGATGTCTACCACCGTTACAGCATCCGGGAGGGAGAGCTCGACCTCCTCAGCTTCAACGATTTCAAGACGCTGCTGACTGAGCAGGCACCGAACTTCCTGCAAGCTTGTGTGAGTGCCACAGGAGCTGTGCTGCACTCCCTGGAGGGATGCTCTCCTCAGGGGGTTGTAGGAGGGGGGATGAGGCTGCGGTTGCCTCCAGAGATGCTCCTGGGGGAATGGGGTGCAGTCCCCACCAAGGGCTGTGGTCCACACAGTGGTTTTCTGTGATCAGACCCAGCTTGCCCATGTGCTGTGGGACCATCCACACTCATCCCTCCTGCCACTGCAGGGGTTCAGAGCAGCCAAAGGGGCTTGGGACAAGAGCTTGTCCACCTGGGGTTTTAACTGGGGGTTAACTGCAAGGTAGGAGAGGGTCACGGTGATCCTGCAGCTTCCAAACACTTTCCAGGGCATGCACCAATAAAGCTGGCTCAGTTTTCACTCAGCCTGGGTGTGCAGCCCAGGGAGGGGGCATGCTAACACACGTCCTGTCCCTCAATTTCAGGACAGACACCAGCAGGACTACCTGAGGAAGCTCTTCAAAGAGACAGACATAAACAAGGACAGAGAGCTGACTTTTGAGGAGTTCACCATCATCTTGTCCAAGCTGACCGATGATGCCCATCGCATCAGCCACGGCGATGACCGCTGTACACCAGACAAGCATTGAGTCTCAACGCACGACCCATGAAAAACTCAGAGGGGGTTGCTTATAGGAATTGGGCTCTAGCTGCTTTCTGTCTGCTTGATCACTCATGCCTGTGAGACAATAAAGCATCACTTGAAGTTCACCGAGTCCTTCCTATCTCATGGATGGGGAGGGTGGGCACCAGCTGCAGCCATGGGATAAAGGCTTGCCTCAGTGAGGCACCCCAAAAACCCATGAGGGAAGAGGCTTATGAATCAAGATGTGATGGGTGGACAAGATCTGTTATTGCTCAGTGTCTGGTCTGAGTCAAGAGGGGAGAACTGATGGGCTAGGAGGGTATTAATGGCCAGAAAACCAGTGCAAGACACTGCCTGAGCTCTGCAAGGGCTTTAACCATCAGCTGTGAAATATAGCAGTCATATCAGAGGTTTTTCTCCTGGCAGAAGAAGGTTTCTGCATAGAATGGGAAGAGCAGAGTCAGCCTAGCTCGGGGAAGCACCTCCTCTTTTGCCCATCCTCATCCAGCTTTTTCCTCCTTGGTCATGCCAAGTGCGTCCTCTGGATGCGGAAAAATGCATTAATACCCATGACAACAGCAGTTCACAACAGAACATAGTCTTTACCACAAGAACAAGCCAGGGTCCTCTTAGGAAAAAGAAAAAAACACATGGAAGTTACTATCTGTGTATATAGCTTCTAGTCCGTGGGAAACTCTGAGATTTAAATTTTTTTTCCATAAATCCCAATGAAAACTGAAATTTCAGAGTTCTCCCACATGGACAAATCATCTGAAGTGCTCCCTCCCAAGCCCTCCTGAATCACTTGCTACCCAGCCAAGATGAAGCGCCCAGAGGTTTCCATCTCGGATTTTTCCACCAGTAAAATATTCTCACCGAAACCTTGACAGACTCCAGCAGGGCACAAGGATCTTGCCCCTGACTGAACCAGCTGGGAGATGTCTTGCAGCACCAACAAACCATTTCTGGGTACTGAATACACTGTAATCCAGCTCTTTTCCTCACCGAATGCTCAGGTACCACCATCCCACGGGACTGAGCAGGCAGCTGCCCCAGCACGAGCGAGAGCAACACTTTGCCTGTCGCAGCACAGGCAGGAAGGACAAGTGCAATGGCCCGATCCAGCCCTGCAACCTGCCAGAGCTTCAGGAGGGCTTGGAGGGGGTCCAGCACCCTGCAGCAGTTGTGCTGTGCGGGCAGCAGAGCTGGCTCTCGGATCCCTTTGGGCTGGACCAAGGTGGTGCCTACCAAGCAGCTGAGTTTGTAGCTGTTCGATATGGCCGAGACATACGTGAATGCTTTTTGGCTCGAGCTAAAGGACTGGGAAATTCTTTCCCCTGCAGCTCCAGGATGGGAAAACCTCTAGGCTGCTCCAGCTCCCGTGGTGGCTGCTCATCCCAGGCTGCAGCTGGAGCATCACTGGTCTGATGGTGCTCAAAGGTGCTCAGGAGCCAGGGCTCAGTGCATCCCCAAGCACCCCAAGTTAAAACCATGTCAAGCAACCAGAAAAATATGTTCTATCCTGATCCTGGGCTAAAACCTGCTGTGAAACATGTCAAACCACATAGTCACAAACCCTGCCATGCCCTCTTCCCGCATCAGCCAGCTGCTGGCCCGTAAATGTATATTTTGAAAGAGTTTTGCAACCCTTGTCAAGCATGGGGTGCCCTGTCAGGGCTTGGGTCCTCAGGACACAATCAACCTGAGTCACCTCGAACTAGATCTTTCGCTTGCCATGGCTACTGGGCTGCTTGCGCACCGCCTGACGCCTACTTCCCACTCCTTCCCCTCTGCAGCTCCAGCAAGTGGATGCTTGCTCAACCCCAGTGGCCTTGGGGCCAGGATTGCAACTTGCTGCAGCCACTTCAGCATGGCTTACAGGCATGGCTGGACAGGGAGGATTCCCCTGCAAGGACACCTGCAGAGCCAGGCAAAAAGTTGTGCTAGAGCGTGTTCCTGGGACCCTAAGCAATACCCAGGCTCCCCGGTCACCTTAATGACTGCGCTGGCATTTAAAAATGAAATACCTGGGGTCTCATCCCTGCTGCCTGATGGGCACATCCAAGAGTCTAGACACCATCCCTCTTTGGAAATCCCTGGCCTGTTCCACACCCTATAACCCATCCTTGCTCTTCTCCACCTCCAGCTGATAAAATGACCAAAAGTATGGTTTCCTGAAATTGCTACAAAATTCTGCAACTGAGCAGATGGGTCCCTGACACCCTGTTGTGAAACGCCCCGGCCCTTCTCCAGCTGTTTCATGCATCAAAGCACTCTTGTTGTGAAATGCAGCGCACCCCCACCGGTGAGGGCTGGGGTCTGGGTGACCACTGCGTATCGAACAGGGCTGCATCCCTGAGCAGCTCCCTGCACCGTGCTGCCCTGTGTCAGCTCATCTGGAGCTCCTGGAGCTCGCCCCCAAGCCTGTCCATGGCCCCGTTTTGGCCTCTGCTTTCTGTCTGAGATTAGCATCATGTTTGGCAGGTTAAACAAACCCCCGAACAAGTCAGCTGAATCAGCAGGCAGAGCATTTTAATGAAGAAGCACTGGAAAATCTTGTTTTACTCCTGATCTTAGCTGCTCTGAGCCAAAGCACCTGTGCTGGGTCTCTGCAACACTGAAATAGAAAAAAAAAAAGCCAGAAAGTGAGGACACAGTCCTAAGCAGTAAAAATACAGCCACACCTGGTCCTCAGAGCTTACCTTGGGTGGGGAAAAAACCACCCTTGGCACAGGCTGTGGCTGACCTGAGGAGGTGAAATGAAGTTCCTGGAGCCCTGGCAGGTTGGGAACCCGCCTCATATTATTTGTTTTTCATAAATTGCTGCTTGCTGCAGGCAGGGGATGGTCCCCCAATGCTGGGGCACTGCCCTCAGCACCAGCTCTGTCCCTATCCCTGTGTCACACAAGTGACCCCGACCACGCTTTCAGTGCTGGGCTGTGTGGAGCAGTGGGACAGCGGGATGCTTTTGGGGTGCAGAGGACCATGCAGTGCTTGTGGGCATCAGGTCTGCAAGGATGGGGATGCTACAGGGCCAGGCAGTGCTGGCTGATTGGAGAAGTGCGGGCATGATGCTGTGGGTCCCCCTTTGCCTCGTGGCATGAGAAGACATCCCTATAGAGGGGAGTAAACCTGGTGAAATTGAAGAAGCCAACGGGAATGGACTTCTGTTGAGGGTTGATGGATAATTGCAGCCCCAATAGCCAGGTGGAGGGGGTTGAAGAGGACCCAGCTGCAGGGACACGGCCATGCTCTGGCCACCTCCCTGCCACCCAGCCACAGTACGTGACACGGGCCTTGCGGGAAAAGCCGCAGAGACCCCTTTTAAGGAACTACTCAGGAGCCTTAAGCAATGCACAAGTATGTCATGAAGATGGACTGGAATTGGATGAAACAGGCATTTCACAACCGGTGGAGTGGCGCAGGCGGATGGCCAGGCTATAAGAGATGCTGCTCTTGAGAGCAGTCCCGCTTCAGCCCGCGTGGATCTCGCTACTTTGTCAAGATGAGCAAGGCAAGTCCAATGGTGATATGGGCATTTAAGGTCTCCATGTTCTTTTCCAGGTGCCGGTCAGGCCATCGGAGGTGCCAGGACCCTCAGAGAACCTCTCCTCGTTGTGTGAGCTGCCATCGGTTGCTGGTGGAGGACAACCATCTCCACTCAGGCTCATCCGAGCACAACCTATTAGGAGAGCTGTCTCCTCCTGGGAGAGGTTTCCCACAGCACAGCCTGACCACTAAAAGGGCTCCTGGACACCAGTTCTCATACCCTGTATCTCTGCAGAGGTTTTTGCAGCCACCAGCTATTTCGGGAGCCTTGCTCTAACAGTGCCTGACTTACAGAAGGCACATTTTGGGGGAGAAATGAGCTCTCAGCTATTTTCTGTAGTTGTGCATCCCGGAGCAGAAGCAGGCAAAGGCTGCAACCCCCTTCAGTCTCCTTTGACTTGTAGATAAGAGAAAACTCTAAACAGCCAGCTCAATTTTAGCCCAGAAAAAGAATGTCTGAACAAAACCAGGCTGCGTCCTTTTCTGGTGTGAAGCAGGTGGCTGTACCGGAGCCTCGCTGGTTTACATCAGACTTCCCCATCTATTGTGGCTCCCGACATTATTCAGTGTAATTGTTTCTCTTTCCGACCTCCCCGATCCAGGAACCG